GTTTTAAAGAGCACTTTAATTTTGTTATTGACAATGGTTGAAGTAAACTGGTTAGTTATTTTGATCTTAATTTCTCTATTGAATTCTGCAACATTCTGAAATGGGCTACAAAGATGAGTGGTATTTTGTCGAGTTTATGAGGTCAATAATTTGTTTATTTACGAATAGAAACCTATTGTCATCGCACTTAAATTCTTCGCCGTCCGCCGTGAATCCCAATAGGAATTCTATATTGATGCTTAGTGTGATTTTTTGATTTTACACTCGAATTGTTTCTAGACCAATTAACTTTCTTACTCTCGGTAACAGTTTCACATTCACTGACTGACCATTTCTGAGCTTGAGCAGGAACGAGGTGGTAACGAGGCGTAGTTCTGACTGAGGCAGGCAGGGTTGATGCCGCCCTTGGAGCGGGTTGGGTCTGGCGTTACTGCGAGGCCTACTGTGCCTCACATTAATATTCGGACAGCCAAAAATACTGAAGGCGTTTCTTGTTTGAATGTAATTTTTCGCATATGCGCGGAAGTTACATGTGAGGAAATGCAAAGGAACTGTGGCTTTATTATTAGGAAACAGAATAATACAAAGAAAATGTTTCTGATGCACAACATACGTTTCATAAACACGGATTTATTTGTGAATATGCAAAAATACGAAGTCACATTAATATTCGGGTACGTAATGGAAAATGTGCTCTTACCCCCTTGCCACTCTTCCAGAGAGCGCGATAAGCGCACCATCCTCTACCCAGGACAAACGAAATTATGCTGTCAGTCGCTCTAAATATTTCCGCCTGAAAAAACCTCTTGCAATGAGGCACAAGTGAAAGAACTCGGCGTTCTAGCAAAGGCAACTTGTGGTTTTTCACCACGCAAAGGGACGCTCCTGCAGGATGAACAAGAACACAGTGCACGATATAATTAAGAGATTTGAGAAAGAAGACAGAATTGAACCTAAACTGCAACATGGACAACGTAAGAAGATCTGCGAAAGAGAGCAGCGTGAAATTTTGAAGAAAGTACGAGAAAATCCGAAGGAAGGAACCGCCAGGAAGAAACCCTTTATTGGTGCTGGGAATGTAGCTAATCGACTTCAGTTTGCAAAGGAATGCGTGACGAAATCAGAGGAGTGGTGGCGTGAGGTAATTTTTGTAGATGAGAAAAAGTTTAATATTTTTAGCAGTGACGATAGGGAGATATAGCGAAAACCAAATACAGTATTGCATCCTAAAAACGTAGTGTCAACTGTGAAACACGGAGGTGGACACATATTGGTATGGGGCTACATATCAGCTGCTACCGTGGGGGAGATTGTGTTTATTAAAGACACAATGGACAAACATCAGTATCTAAACATACTGAAAGAGAATTCACAAAAATCTTCTGACACACTAGGCATCAGGAACTCGTTTAAATGTTATCAAGATAACGACCCGAAACACAAATAATATTTAGTGTGCGAATGGTTGTTATACAATTGTTCAATGGTACTGGAAACGCCGTCTCAGCCTCCTGACCTCAGTCCAATCCAGAATTTATGGCATGAATTGGAATGTACACTCAGGAGAATTAGAATTGAGTCAAAGTCCCATCTGCAAGAGAGAATCCAAAAAGAATGGGCCCAAATTGAACAATAGTACCTAATGAGGATTATTGATTCAATGCCAAAGCGATTGCAACAAGTCATTAACTACAATGGTTATGTTACAAAGTATTAATATTTTAAAGTTTATTTATTCATTTATATTATATTTCATTTCACGTGTCCGAATATTACTGTGGCTAATGAATCCAGACAATTTTATTTTTGTTTTGTTTTCTTTTCTTTTTATAGAATGCGTCAACTGCATTCGGTATTTTTGTTTTGTTTATACTGTTATCCGTTAATAAAGGAACAATTCTGTTCCATTTCCTTGCATATATTAAATATCGTTAATATCGTCAAAATATCGCAGAATTAACGATTTCTGGAGTATACGTATCTAGGTGACCGAATATTAAAGTGAGCCACTCTATATCCATGGCCCCGCCGCTTGTTGGTATCAGCGACACGTAAAACGTCATAGTTGTCACCGTTATCGACGATGCGGAGGTCTTCGGATATTGTCTGAATTGTGGCTGGATTAATGGCATAAGCCATATACGTTTTCTTAAATAGTAGTGATCAGGTACTATAGATCTGTTTGAACACTATGCAGAGATCCTGAATAGACGGTTGTGTCGGGGCTGGGGTAGCCTGTCCGGTGTGGAGCGATATCGACTGCGATATGAGGAGCGAACTGCACTATCATTTGGTGCTGTGTTCAGCCGCCGTGCAGGAATTAATCTCTTCCTTCCTCGTTCCTTGTTGGACTCTTTCCGCCAATCCCTCGTTCAGGCATCACCCATTTCTTTTAAATGGCCATAAGTTTTAGGAATCAGAGATAATTGAGGTAAATAAAATAGATGTATTGTAAACGCTAAATATAGATCTAAAACATTATATTTATTTACAACTGGGATTGAACCTGGTGCCTAGAATCAATCAATATCCTGTTGCAATTCGAAATGGGTCGTCATAGAATTCTCATCACAGATTTATGTTGTATTTTTATATTCACTTTGTACATTTGCTCCTTAGTGTAGGTTATGACAATACAGGAAAATGTAACTACCTGTTCAAATTTACCATGATGGATCAGAAGTAAATGTAAACACGCAATGGATACTAGAGAAACTGCACAACTTATAAAACAGAGCTATGAACAACTAATATAAAAATGTGGACATAAAATTAGTTTACGACTGAGATATTTGACCCCAAAAGTAAAATATTATTGCCATTAAACACTTTGAAGGCTACTAAACAATCACCATTTTTACCAACGTATTACAGTCGTATAAGGGACATTCGCGAATTCAAGCACTCCGAATTTGTGAACATTCAAAATTTTATTAGGTAATGTTCAAAACATAAAAAAACACGTCTGAAATGTTTACGTGGGAAATCCTACAAGAACAGATTTGGAGAAAAAAAACTCCTTTTTTTACTGTCTGGGGCTTTAAATACGATTTAGAAAGCAAAGAGGTCACACGACACTTGCTTGAGCGACAGAACTTAAGGGGTCACACAGTACTTTTCTTATTTGAAAATATTACAAATAGAAACAATGGAGAGTTGGTTTTTGTCGATAATGGAATCCTAAAAATAAGAAAATTCGCGAGGTTTTTACAGTGGGGTAGCCAGGATTTTTCTAAGGAGAGAGTATACTCGTAGGTAGTCGACTTGATATTTCTTTGTAACTAATTTTTCATTTATGATTAATTTACAATTTACTTTTTCAAACTGTTTCTGTTGAATTTCACATCATTTTCACCATCTGTTTTTTTTAATGTTTAGATCATTACGTAGGAAAAAATGGAATCAATTAAGTGTGTTCCAATCCATGATTGTCCCTTGATAGTTCTTTTACACTAACTCCTTTTTCCTGGCAAGTGAATCGAAAATTCTCATTACGGCTTCTGCAAGCGTTCAGTGTCTCTATCCATCTAATTTGGAATCCTTTGCACCACTCCTATCACTTATAAAATCAATAGATCTTTGTTTTCCATTGAAATTGAAAGATTTTTTATTGCCTCCTGGTTCTAATCATCTTAAACAAATATTTATTTACATTATTTATATTACAACAAATAACTGTACATCGCCATATTTTGAAGTAACATAAAATGTGTATTTCGCAAAAAATATGTTAAATTTCGTTATGGTGTACTAGTATCAAAATATTATAAATAGTTATGCCTCTTTTATTCCGTCGATTAAAAGTATTAGATATTACTTTAAAGGGTAAATGATTAATAAATGCTATTTAGTATAAAATTATGGGTGGCCATCGTGAAAGGGGGTTCGCTTTGCTGCTTTCAAAAGAGAAAAGGAAAGGATCCCTAACCCTGTTCTCGACATTCAATTTGGTGTTTGAGATGGGTCACGACCTTGCATTTTATTGTGAACTTGCACGAATATTAAATAATATTCTATACGAAAAGATAATTTCACAAATAGCAGACAAGTGACCCGATCATTTAATTCATGAATTACTTTTGCTGCAATAAACTATTATCATTTACTAGCATATTATTCTTTATTTCTTGCAAATAATATCGACTTTTAGAGGTGTTCCCTTTATGTACCACTGTACATTTTATCAGCGCTGTGATTGCAGACTTTCGTAACTGAACCATTAGCAATTTTAAGTTTAAAATATGTTATAACAAATGTTAAATTACACTAATCTACGGATAGCCGCGGGCCTTAAAGCTACCAAAGAAAATTTGTTTGCAACTATATCGGTGCTATTAGTTATAAAGTTAACTTTGTTTTAGCTATTATGCAGAAATTCGTTTCCGTCACAGCGACTTCACATATGGACCCCTAACAAACATCAGTGTCGCATTAAATAAGCGAAAAACGTCTCGTTTAATGCGACAAACCTCCAGAGTGGGGAAACTCACACATCTAAAAGAATTGAAAAATGCCATAAAACATAATTGCGCTCCCCGTTTACCTTTAATAATGTCCTCCTGGAGAAATGCCGTTTCGTCCACTGCGTAGAACGTGCTCGGGGATGGTGCGCGAAGCGACCAATATTCGCGACGGGTTGCGTCGCGGCCTCCCCTCGTTGGACCAGTGGCGGCGTTCGCCGCCGCCGCCACCGCCACCGCCACCGCCACCGCCGCCGCCGCCGCCGCCGCCGCCGCCGCCGCCGCCGCCGCCCGCCGCGCGCCGCCGCCGCCGCCGCCGCCGCCGCCGCGCGCCGCCGGCGCCGCCGCCGCCGCCGCGCCGCCGCGCCGCCCGCCGCGCGCCGCCCGCCACGCGCACGCCAGCAGCAGTCTGTCGGTCGCCGCCGTCCTTGAAGGAGCGCGCTACACACCAGCCATCGGCCAGCGCCGACGCCGAGGCGAAGGCAGCCCGCTCACCCAGTCGCCGGCTCGTCGCGCTGCCGCCGCACGCACGCGCGCGCAGTCGCCTGCGCGCATCGATCGACCACGCGACTTCTCGCCCACCACCACCTCACACCCACCCGCTCGCGACTGGCGAGACGGCGGTAGACCCTTCCAACACCCGGTAGACTCCTCGGCGGCACACAACCATCGCCGCCGACGCCACAGCTGCACCCCTCCCACCGAACCGGTGCGGTAGAACACGGCGCGCTCACCACCCAAACACATCTAGTCCGACCCGAAGGAAAACCGTGCCAACATGTCGTCCCCGGGAGAAAAGACAAAGTACTCGCCCGTGAAGGAGGCGGCCGCCAGCGACGGGGCCAACGAGGTGCCCTGCGCCCCGCAGGACGATGCCATTTGCCTCAAGGCGAAGATGAGCCTTCTCAACGGCATCACCGTCATCGTGGGCAGCATCATTGGCTCTGGCATCTTCGTGTCGCCCACCGGCGTGTTACTGTACACTGGCTCCGTCAACGCGTCTCTTGTCGTGTGGGTGATCTCGGGCGTGTTTTCCATGGTGAGTAGGAGCGATGGCGCCCGAGCGCAGGTAGCACGTGGCGATCACCCCGTGCTGACGGGCGGGGTGAAAGATTTTGCGTTTGTTGACATCGCCACGCGACGTCTGAGTACCGGTAAATGCGTTTAAAGTTGTTGAGGCTGTATAGATTAGGCTAGGAAGTGCCGATCCTGAGAATTGTTTCATTTGGGATTTTACGTAATGTTTGACATATATTGTTCAGAAACGTATTTTGTGGCAGTATTTTTGTTAAAATATTTAACTTTTTACCTTGTACTAATTATTATCAGTATAATGGTTGTCTTTACTTCAGTACTATTACATAAATCTAAAACATGAGTATTAATATAGCATTAGATGATTTACAATGCAAGTTGCGAATAAATAAGAAATTCGAGGTTTGGCGTCTGTCGCGATTTTTTTAGTAATATTTTTTGAAACCGGACCTGTTTTGCAACTAATGTTGAAAATTATCAGTGAATAATGTAATTATGTAATGTAATGTAATTATGTAATAATGTAATGTAATTATCAGTGAATGAACACGAAGTTGGTAGAAAAATAATTTTGTCTCTAAGATGTGAAGTGATGAGATAGAAAAGTGACCGATAAGAAGAAATAATTATCTATAAACCCTGGACATTAATTAAATTTTATTTAATTATCTTTGTTTCAATTTAATTTGACAATCTAGTGTGGTATGATTGTGACTAAATGAGGATTTGCATTTGTTTGTAGTATAGCATTTGAAATTCCACATTCCTATAAATTTGCTGGTTGTCTTTTTTGTTTTAAATTGTTAAAGAAAAATGACACTTTATATACATAATCTACAAAAAAGAATGAATGAATGAAAGAAAGAAAGAACGTTAAATGAAGCCCGCGACATATTTCATGAAACCATGCATTTTTTAATGTTTGCAATAAGCACTAATTGGTTAAAAGTTTGGTAAGATTTCAGTGATGTCTCAAGTTAATATGACATTGCACTGACAACAAGTCAAAGAGGTTTGTACATCGCAATGCGGGTTCAGACTGCATTTGCCGGTGGAGGTTGGTCGATAGTTTTGAGGTTATGTTAGTACCGTACGCGGTGTATGCTGTGCACGTGCCAGACCAAAGATGTTGCACGAGATGAAGATCCTTTATTTAATAAAATTCATATCCTTCAAAACTGCATACCAAAGTAATGACATACAATTCATTACGTATATAACGTTAGAAGAAATTCGTTAGGAAAGGTGATTAAAATGTCGATTAATGTGTGATATATTTATTTATAAGAATCATCTATCTGATAGGGAAAGGTATGTATTTAATCTCCAGTGTTAAATGAGAGAAATTTTATTTACGTTCCCTGTATGTTCTGCTGTATCTAAACACGCTGTTTTCCCTGTCCCTACATTGAAACTCGTTTATAATTCTGACCTTCAAGTACTCGGGAATCTAATTGCACTATTTGAATGAATCAAACTACACTTAGCAGAATATTTTAGTTTTTTTTAGATTTTTTCACGTTTATGAATTTCCGCCCAATTTTCGAGATATTGTCGAGAAATAGAGCAATATTTCAAATCTGCTGTAATGGGATGGCAAAAGAGGGGAGTCATATATACGAAATCTCGTGTTGGCAAAAATTTCTCCCTTATTGAAAGTCAACGGAAAAAAATCATTAAGTCAATTACAACTCTGTAGATTTGTATAAAAAACAAATCTTTATGTAATATAAAATAATTATATAAAGCAAGTATCCTAACTTGTGCGTTTCAAAATACTTTACCTTTCAGTGAAATCTCAATTGATATCAGCTTCGCGAACCCGAGATTAGCTCAGACAAATCGACAGACAAATAATCTTAAAAGATAATTGTTTTGAAAACAAACGCACATCAATTTTACTTTATTTTGTGACGACGAATTTAATATATATATATATATATATATATATATATATATATATATATACTGTCAATTTTTCAAACAATTTCCCTTAAAAATTCCTTAATTCCCCCCTCCAAATAATAATATTAAAACGGAAATTATCTCGTGTCAGTTCGTTCGTTGAGTGCGAGCGCCGTGGTTCCCGGTTCGATGTCGCAACTTCTACCACGCAGTCGAGCCACGCGGCGCAGCAATGCGGCAATACCGACCATTCCTCGGTGCACCCGTCCGCGAATGTTTCCCTTGAGGCGGCAGCGCTCTCCGCGTCCACTAATGAAAGCGCAACCTAATTATCGTTCGAAGAAGGTGGGGCGGGGAGATTGCGGTGCCGCGCGGGCTCGAAGCCCCAAGCCGCCAGGGAGAGAGCCTAGGTAACCCCCAGCCCTCCCCAACCTCCGGCTTTCAAATGTTTCGTGAAACTAAGAAGAATGCGACTGAAATGCTGGGGGAAACGTGGAAATCCTCATTTCACTAATCAAAAACAAACATTTTAGAATTTCACCACAAAACAACATTGTGATTCAGAAGCGCTGCATATAATGTTTTCAGAATTCTAGAACAACAATATGTGCAAACAAGACAGAAAGAAGGGTTTAAATAATATTGGAAAACATTTGGATCGACCCCAGACTTCCTTCCATAATTACTAAAATTAGGGTCTTCACTATGGTTTCCCAATCTCATCAATTAGTATTCAGCTTATAGATGGTTTGCATGAAATATATTTGTATTTTTCATCTGTATGGTTATAAATGTCATTGTCCTTACATTCACCGTCATCATCATACAACCACCCTCATCACAGAAACTTCCCTGTTCATTATAATTGCAATCATCATCATGAATTGCAACGATCATCATGAAATATGATCGACACAAACATCAAGGACTGAACAATTTGAATTATCTTTTCAATCTCCTTCAGAGATCAAAGAATACAAATTGATCATTTCATTGTCACACCGGAAAACAAACGTCCTTCGTTTAGTTTTATGTCTAGAAAATATTTTGAGATGCAGCGATCCTCGTTTTTACCCAATGTTCAAAATACTAGATATTTTCCGGTTTGTTTCTAAAAAGGTTATTCTGTTTTATCGCTTATAATAGTGGTGCCGAAATTGGAACGCATCAGCATTTCTTATAATTGTTTAGTTTATATAAATTATATACATTTATTAATGTATATAAAGACAAGAACGGTTAAAAAGTGTGTGTCGTACTAGAGAAGAAGTGCAATCTCTGCACGGTTTCTTGAGCTCTGGTATCTTTGACCAAACTCGTATTCTTATTATGTTGAATTTTGAATATAGGTAGCTATGACAGTTTTTGACGAGAATGGGCTTAAAAAATTTATCTCCCGCGTATTAAAAACTATTTTTATAGGCAAATCAGGCAAATATTTTTGATGTAATCCCCTGTCATGCTCTTCGTGTCGGAATCGACGAACTGCAGTGAGAACGTGGAGAAAGATTACTCGAATAAATATCCTCATTGAGCCCAAGATTTTGTCCATAACAGTCGCTCTATAAAGACGTTAGTTATGTGCGCAAGCAAAACTAGTAGTTATCCCAGCATTTGCTCAACGGATAAGAAAAATTGGATGAAAATCTGATCGAGATGGCGGTCATTGACCCAGGAACAGAGGTTCAATATTTGATACTGGCGTATGTTGTCTTAGCATTATACAGTCTAAATTATAACTAATACATTACGTGGTTTGTTCAGAACGGCACAACTCTGAATCAGGTGTAGTAGCTGGCTCAGGCGAGGCGAAAGCCTGAATATAAATTCCGAAGCCCTACAGCTCCGATTGGTCTTTTCGTGGTTTTCTTCGATCAATTCCAGGCGGATCCTCGAGTAGTATTTTCAACGGGCCAGGAATAGGGAGCGATTCTTCCTTCTCAATTTTAACCCCCCTCCCATCATGAGGGCTAGGAAATTGTGTGTGGGCGTGTGTACGTGTACCACAAACACTTTTGAACTACTAGAGTGCTTCCACGTTTAAATAAATAAATAAATAAATAAATAAATAAATAAATAAATAAATAAATAAATAAATAAATAAATAAATAAATGTCTTTATTGATGGCGAGGCTCAGGCCATTTAGCCTGCTCTTCCCTCCGACTATTTTCAAACAAAATTTAATACAATACTTAATGAAAAAAAGGTCATTCAAAGAGAGATACGTACGCAATTTAGATGAGGGGGGTCACACTGAAGACAGGAATGTAAGCGAGGGAGGAAGGAGTAGATAGAAAAGGGAATATTCTCACAGCATTGATGAAATGAAGTTTATGAGTGAGATGAAATGTATTTATTTTAAGTAAGGGATGTGTTAAAGTTAATGATAAATATATTACAAAGCTATGATAATTTATTCAAAATTTAGATAAATTATATTTTCTGACTCAGCAAATTAGGTAAAGGAAGGATTGGACGTATCTTGTATAAGTCAGTGAAATGTTATTTAGTACTACTAAATGTTTCACACAGAGGTTTTGAAGCAGATACGATTACGTACGTATTATTGAATTTCCCCTAAAGAAGACTAGAAAGGGGGAAATATCGTCAGCATACGAGCGAAAACGCATCGAGTTCCCTGAGAAAAATGGAAAACGTTGGAAAATAAAGTATTTCGTAAGCATAATACTTGTACTTTGTAACAATAATATTAACAATATTGACAATATGAGAATGATTTATAAAACTATTTGGTTTTTAAATTATGTAAAAAGGGGGGGAATAAAAACGATCAATTCATATTGTAGGAAAAATTTTCAATTTAAACCCCGTACCAGAAAAGTTGATATTATGGAAATTTAGAAACTGTTTACCAATTTGAATATTCCCAAGACCTGAAAACCCGACCCAACATCTCCCACCCGTAAGCCAATGTTATATAATACATTTATTCCTGGGACTGCAAACAAGGGACCATTCCGGCATGCGCCTTAAGCGATTCAGTAAACCCTGGTAAACCTCAATCAGAATGGCAGCTTATGGCCATGACACAATACTCTGTCAAAAAAACGCAATACAAGTTAGCAATTTCAGTGCAC